GAAAACAGGATCCTAACTAGACTTTTTTACTTCAAATCCTAAAATACAGTTGAAACAGTCCTTGGTGACAAAACTTTACCAATACATACGATGTACAGTGTAACACTATATGTGTATGTTGAGGTAAAGTGACTAACAGAAACTGCTGGGAAAGAAAGCTTCACCTGTCCATATACTTCTCTTTCAGCCGTTCCCCCTCTCCCTGCCCTCACCACAACCAACAATTAAGACTGAAGAGCTGGCTGCCCGTCAGAAAAGAAACTCTCATTTTTCAGGGTGATTAAGTTTTACTTCTCGTCTCAAAGGACTGGTGCAGTGATTTATTTTTACTTAATCTCCAAGCCCTCGCTGAACGGAGCAGCCTCCCAGGGCATCTCACCCAAACACATCTGGGGAGCAGGGCTCTTCAATTTACATTCCAGGCCCTCAGATCTAAGGATAAGAAAAAGCATATTGCTTGGGGGCTAAAAGAGAAGCACTAGTTTAATTTGAGAACCTGATAGTGGGTTTAAATAAACTCTCAGTCCCGGGAGTCAAAATGGTTCGGGAGTGGGGAGCAGCATAAACTGAACAATAGCAGCTGACAACCCCGAGACGTTATTTTGTATCAGCAAAAATGCTTGTTGGCAGAAGCCTTGTTGCAGGCGACCGAGAGAGAAGTGATGGAGAACTGGTGTCGTTTAATTGTGACCTCCACCGTCACCCCTTTTTGTGGACGGCTGTTGGAGTTCTCTCCTGGGAACACCCCTGGTTAGTCCAGCCAGTCGGGAGCCTGAGCGTGGCGGGCCGGGTAGAGCCTGAGGGCCACCGGGGTCTCCCCGCACCTCCACCGTGTCCGAGGCAAACGATGGCTCCAGAGAGGAGGGTTTTCGGAAGCCGAGGGGTCGATTGGCGAGAAGAGAACAGAAAACTTGCAGCCCCGCGGTGGCCTCCCCTTCGGGAGCCTGCCGCAGTCTCCGGCCAGTGCGACCCACCTTCGGCCCAAAGCTCCGGACGGCGGCCCCGCGG